GGTCACCTGTGCTTCAGGCAGTGAGGCTGGTCAGTACAGAGAGGTGACATCCGATGACTGGAAGCTCAGTTCTGGAGAATTCCTCAAATTTCCCTTAGACCCAGAGAAGGAAAATTATGTCAGGAGGAATGTGCTGAACTCCGTCTTCTCCATGGTGAATCCAACGCCCCTGGAAGGGCAGACGGCCTTGGCAGGGGTCTCGGCAAGGGCTCTGGATGTGATTGATTTGCATTCTTCTGTTGCGAGTTCTACACGGTTTCGAGATTTTGCCTCTGGAGGCTGGATTCACCCCGGGTCAACACCCCTTGCGCATCGGTATGGTGGGCATCAGTTCGGGTGGTGGGCGGAGCAGCTTGGCAACGGGAGGGCACATCTGCTGGGGCATTACGTCAACAGGTTCGTATATCTTGCACACTTTTGTATGGCTGTTATAAGTAAATATCATGACTATGTATGGGTCTCCTAATTCATATTAAATATTGCCAGAACATAGATACTGTAATGTGTTTTGTAAATTAGGTTTAGGTTTATACTTTAGTAATTTTGGCAAGTTTTCTACACGCTTTTTCATTAACTCAATGCCGCTGGGAAAATGCTGTTCCCATTTCAGAATTTTTTGTGAAATGTCTAAGCACATAGATGGCTCTCCAACTTCTTACCCAGAAAGGAGTCAGTTAGTACCCTTTGATACCTTGCCTGATTTCACCTTTCCTTGAATTTGTGTGAAAAACATTTTTTTTTTACTTATGCTATGAATATCATTGGTGTTTCTTATTATAGATATTATAATAATTATAATGTTGTTGACATTAGTAATAGCAAGATAATGTAAAATATTTTCAAAAATCAAGGAAAAGGGTAAACAGGTGAGACAGGTAGTACTTGTAATTATCTTGTTGGTGACTTGGTACTTGTGGAGCCATCAATGTATAAGAACAATTAATAAATTAACTCATGGTGGGCATGGTATGTATGTACATGCCATACCCATCAGTTTGGGGTTAAGTATTTTGTAGTGGCAAATTTAAATGTTACAGATTTCAATTATTTACTTGGTATTATTGGAGATATGTATATGTATGTATATGTATGTATATTAATGGTGATTTTACTTTGGTTAGTCCCTAGCCTTTCACTAAGACTATGCACTGTACATATTCCAGAAATGGCTCATGGTGGGAGCTGCAATTGAAGGGTTCAGGGAAAACCCCCTACTCCCGTGGTGGAGATGGAAGAGCAGTAATACGGTCAAGTGTTCGAGAGTTCCTTGCTGCTGAAGCTATGGCTGCTCTAGGTAAGTTAGGTATGATTATACTTATGGGAGAGATCATTGAAAATGTTTAGCATCAGTATGTTTTCAGTCAAAACATCATGGATTATATGGCTGTTGTAATTTTATAGGTTTATAGCATAATATTACTAGAAATGTTCTGAGCAAGTCATTCTTAAATGATAGTCTTTTACACAATAGCAAAGTAATTAATCCTGATGGTAATTGTAGGTGTAACATTAGTGTCTTCTTTAAAGCTATTTTGATTGGTAATATCCTTAGGGAAAGTAAAAAATAAAAGAAAAAAATAAAAGGTATAAACATATGTTGAACTTATTTTTCAAGACAGTCAGTAGACCATTTTCTATCAAGAAACATATATAGACAGACACATACACACATAAACTGTAAGTGTCAAATGGATAACATGCAGTTTACTCAGTGGAAAATATTGTATGTTTTGGAAAACTTTGCAATCATTCGGGCTGCTCACCATTCTTTTATGCATTTGTCTTTCCACAGTTCAGTGTTAGTAAACCACAAATAAACAACAGTCTTTCAGTAAGGAGATAAGATTCTGGTAAACTTTTAAAATTTATCCAAAACAATAGCCTATAACAAAAGAATAATAATATACATTTTTTATTTGTTTGATCCTGTTATAGAGGAAAACATGACTATATTATTAAGATTAAATTTACACATGAACAAGTCACCTTTGCTGGGATCTTGTGTACTCAGTAGGTAGCATAGGATTTTTAACAGATTTATAAGTAGTTGATTTTGATGTTTCAAAGGATGATCAATAGTCATGATAAAAATGGGCAAGTAAATAACTTACAAACTAACATAGAGAACACATTTTATTTGTGTAGGACAATCAGGATAGAGATGATTTGTGCAGAAAGATAGGAGAATCCCAAACAAATTGATGTCCAATGCATGTCAGCCTTTGAAGTTTGGCAAAGGAATATACATAACAAGGTAATAATGAACTAATGAATGTCATAGTAGCATATACAATTATGATTATTTAAGTATTAAATCAGATGGTTTTAACACTTGCGCATGGGTGTAACTGTGGTGTTACAGATGTGAATATAAATTCTGATTACTGAGAATCTCAGAACTTAGTGTAATTTTGTTAGGTTTCAGAACATCAAGAAGTGCATCGATTGTGGTGGGAGAAGAGTTAGCCTTAAGAGATCAGTTTTATAATGGGAATCTGAAGATGGAGAAGATGGCTGTGGTGCTTCGTCTTGCTCCTACTTGGTTCAGGTAAGATTTTGAGAGATGTATTAACTTTTCTTGAAGAAGTTATTGAAATATTTTCTAGAGTATTCTATGAAAGAAATCAGAGTGCTAGAAGTCTCATTTTTTACATGTTTATCTTTTAATTTTGATAGTGACTTGAATGTTGCTGACCTAGATTTTTGTTTGTTTCAGATTTGGTTCTTTAGAAATACTTGCCAGAAGGAATGAAATAGAGCTTCTTCAGTTATTAGTGGACCACATAATTGAGAAACACTTTAGAAGTATAGCAGTTACAGATCCTGATAGATATCTAAGCCTTTTCTCAAAGATTGTTGAAGAAACAGCAGAAATGATTGCACAGTGGCAGAGTGTTGGTTTCACTCACGGGGTAATGAACACTGATAATATGAGTGTTGCATCAGTCACTATAGATTATGGACCATTTGGATTTCTGGACACTTATGATCCTGATTTTATACCAAATTCATCTGATGATGAGGGTATGTATAGCTACAAAAATCAGCCAAAAGTAGGACATTACAATCTGCATAGACTCGCTGATGCTCTCCGGCCACTACTGTCACCAAGTCAGATACAACAGATAAAGCATATCCTCCCTGGTTTTCATGTGCATTTTCAAACTGCTTATCTTCAGTTGTTTGCTCGGAAATTAGGGCTTCAGAATTCTAAAATAGAAGATGAAACACTGGTTCAAAGTTTGTTGGATATAATGAAGGACAGTAAGGCAGATTTTACCATGACCTTTTGGGAGTTAGGAAACCTTTCATTGGAAGATATAGAGGCCAAAAATGTGCCCAGGAACTTTTGGAGCTTGCCAAAGATTTTAAGTCATTACAAATTTGATTCATTCCTGAGTCAGTATAAGTTGCGCTTAGAAGAAGAAAATTCCAGCGAGGAGACAAGGCAGTCCATCATGGCAAGTGCCAATCCAAGGTATATCCTAAGAAACTGGATAGCTCAGCAAGTCATAGAAAAAGTTGAACAGGGAAATTATGGTGAGTTAGACCAAGTGTTGAAGATTTTAAACAGTCCCTTCTCTATTCAACCAATTGCTGAAAAGAAAGGCTTTGCCAGTTCTCCTCCCAAATGGTCAAAAACATTAAGAGTCAGCTGCTCAAGCTGAAGTTGAGTCATCTTGTACACTAGCATATACCTCATGGAGAGAAATGTACAGTACAATTACCACTATGCACATTGTCTATTTTTGTTCTGATTTTACTGCAATTAAACTAGATCTGTAAGGTATCTGAACGTCAGTGGTCTAAATGTCTGTGTGAAGTATATGTGTGCTTTTGTATGGATATGTATGTATGTGACAGATAGATATCCTCTTTGTATGTTTGAATACAGATTTAGAGACACACACACACACACACACACACACACACACACACACACACACACACACACACACACACACACACACACACACACACACACACACACACACACACACACACACACACACACACACACACACACACACACACACACACACACACACACACATATTTACATATATACTTACACAGGAACACAGGGAGGGAAGAGGGAGCAGGGTCTGTTGTGAGCATACCTAATTTATATATTTATATTTTATAAGGCTGTTAAATGGATTATATTGTTGATCCCGCTGTTATGACTATTTTGGTATCATCTGGTATTTTGACATGTTTGAAAATACCATTTAGATTACACTTTACACCCTCATAGGTAATTTTTGTAACTGATTGGATACACTTATGATCTAAATAAAAAATATAGAAAGAAATGCAAAATATCTTTTAAAACACCAGCAATGGCTCATTATGATGGCTCATTATAAAGAAAGATACTGTTTAATATCACTAATAACAAGTTTATATATTAATTTTCTTAGCAGTACTATTGCTCTACACAACTGAAGTAATGTTATGGAATGTATATGTATCCATTGTTTATCAGTCAGTGGACCCTTAAAGACCTGTTCAAAAAGAGTCAAATTGTCTTTGTTGAATATTAAAGTGCAGAGAAATTTATCTTTCTACTTACACATCTTTAGAAGTATTTTAGGCATAAAGTGGATTTTATTTATTAGTCTACATCAGATAACTCTTTAAGATGGCAGAGTTGAGGCTAGAGAAGGGAGAGAGTGGGAAACTAAGCATCTCAGTGAAATATGACTTTTTATTATAATTTTATGCAATGGAACAGTATGGAACAAAACAGTATCTTCTGAAAGGAAATCATGCTATTTAATAGACATGTAATTCACTATTGTGGACAATACAGCAGTAATTGGCAAGAAAAATATCGTGGTATATGTACTATTTGGAGCATGCCAATGCAACACATATACAATCACAAATGCGATTGTGAATAGAATTGTGTTTACAAGTCTCTGCCATTGCAACCATGGCTTATCACTTCATCATGCTGCAGATTTCTTATTTAACTTATTATATTCTTAAATTGAGGGATTCACATCTTGGACGAATAATATACCCAGTAATCTCCTAAGAAAAAAAAGACATCGTTATCTTCATAGAAAGCGATCTATAAGATTTTACTAGGGACACTTAATCATTTCGAATACCAGGAGGAAACTACTAAATGTTGTTTTAGTTAAAGTGAAATGTAAATGTTTGTTTCTTGTATTCTTAAATAAATACTGGTGATAATGATAACAGGGGAACTGATATTTAAAAACTAAAGTAAGCAATTCAATAATAATCTTTCATTTTCATGGATGTATTCATATTCACTTTATTCATCTTCAACGTCACTGCTTATTTGGAATTATAATTCTTGAGAGAGAGAGAGAGAGAGAGAGAGAGAGAGAGAGAGAGAGAGAGAGAGAGAGAGAGAGAGAGAGAGAGAGAGAGAGAGAGAGAGAGAGAGAGAGAGAGAGAGAGAGGGGGAGAAAGAGAGAGGGAGATAAAAAGAGAGAGGGAGATAAAAAGAGAGATGGAGAGAAAAGAGAGAGAGAGAGAGAGAGAGAGAGAGAGAGAGAGAGAGAGAGAGAGAGAGAGAGAGAGAGAGAGAGATGGAGAGAAAGAGAGAGGGAGATAAAAATACTTCTATAAAGATACTTCTATAAACATCATTTTTATTGTACTGTTATATATATATATATATATATATATATATATATATATATATATATATATATACATATATATATATATACATATATTATATATATATATACATATATTATATATATATATACATATACTATATATATATACATATATTATATATATATATATATATATATATATATATATATATATATATATGTATATATATATATATATATATATATATATACATATATTATATATATATATATATATATATATATATATATATACATATATTATATATATATATATATATATATATATATATATATATATACACACACTCACTCACTGACTCACTCTCTCTCTCTCTTACTCACTTACTCACTCTCTCTCTCACTCATACTCTCTCTCTCTCTCTCTCTCTCTCTCTCTCTCTCTCTCTTTCTCTCACTCTCTCACTCTCTCTCACGTGTTTCTTATGAGAGTGGGAAAGTGTCTGAGACACTCTCCCACTCTCATAAGAAACACGTGATTCCTAAACCACGGCGGTGAAGTTACACCGAACGCGGACTCAGAACTTCACTTGTTCCCCCGAGCGTCTTCCACCAATCAGAGCTCGGTTTGGGTCTGGCTTTGGGTCCCTCGGCCAATCAGCGGGCGGCTTCGTTCCTCCTTCCACGGACGTCAACACCGCGTTTCGGGAGCGCCGAGGATCCCAATATTCGGGGCCAAAACTCGCCAAAATGTATAACGAGTTTGTGGACGAGGTAAGAAATGGGGCGTTAAGGATGGAGTTGGAGGGGTTCTAGCCACTTGAAGGGTATTTGGAGTGTGGAAGTGAGTTAAATTCAGTTGCAAATGACGTGGCTGTGAGGTTTTCACTCTCAGGCGGTATATATTTCCCGGTGTTTTGTCAAAACTTGGATTCATATTTTTAACAGTGATTATTCTGAAGATTCTGTATCGCATAAAGTGTCAGTTTTTTAGGACTTTATTGTGAGTAATCTACGAATGGGTTATAGAAGATACCTGTGTACTTATTTGACCGGCAGCTGGCAGCCAGTTTCTGATCTCTCTGGCCTTTCTAAAATGATATTGTTGCGTCGAAAAGCTTTGCGGGAAGTAATTAGCATGATTTTGCCTGGACTCGTTTTCTTCAATAGTCTTCTTGTTAGTTTGTGGAAGCAGTAAAAGTTTTTGGTATGTAGAAGAATGTCAGTTACTCGTTTTCATGTCCAATGAACCAGTTTCAGTGGAGGTTAATGGGAAATAGTTGCAAACACGGGGTCAGTATGTAGAAGAGGGTAGTGGGTTACCTTCGTGACAATTTTGATATTTTTCTGCATGAAATCCACTGCTTTCAACAATTCTAGGCATTGTTCCTTGTGCAAATGAATCGTTGAGGAGATATGATCACCATCTCTATTGACAATCTTGATTTGATAGTCCCAGTAGTAAGGGACGGCATGAAGTATATCAGGGAAATTATGGGGTAAAACAGGAACCTGTGATTGTTAAACAAAACATCCTAGCGCAACATCCAATTTAACCTAACACCGTGGTATATATTCCCTAGTCAGGGGGCTCTGCCCCATGGACCCCTGTGGTAATATATATGCCTCGCCAGATTACTACACCCCCTGGAACCCTGTGGTAGTATGTGTGTTTAGAATTCACCCTCGCAATGTAAACAAGATGAGCGACTTAGCCAAAATTGGGGAATCTTCTCTTTTCTTTTACGTATTGCACCCGTGGGAAGCATTTGCACACCTATTGCCATAGAAGAACTTTGTCTTGGTTTGTATTGTTCTCTCATTTCATGTAGGTTTTATTACACAACTCTGCCACTACCTCATATTGCATATTGTCCAAATACTGTATTTTATTTTTTTATTCCTGAACTATCGCCCTAACAATGAAATGTATATGGTATAAATGGCATAATATCTGGCAGTATGTATTCCATAGCAGATAGAAAGTTAAATATATACTCATTATGAATTAGTAGTTCTAGAGAGTTAAAGAGCAGAGAAAGAAGATACAATGCCATTAAGCATTGCACAGTCATTGCAATTGCTCTTTACAGTTTTTGTTTGAACTTTAAATACATTATTATTCAGTTGTATTTCCTTCTGCATAGGAATTGTTTTTGTTCTGGTTATAATTTCAACCATCAATTTTCTACTATGCCTTATGCTTTTCTGGTGATGCATATAGTGCATTGATTGAATGCGTACCTCTTTCCCATTGCTAAGAAGTACTTTCATTATGCCTACCCTCCTCCCAATGATGGTTGGTGACCTGTGGGATATAATTTTGGAAAACTTTCCGCCTATGTCAACCAATCGTGCAGTAAAATAAGTGTATGGAATGGATACCTTGACGAAAACTAAGACACTTTTCATCTATGGTAAAAGGTGCGCAAATCTAAAATAAGGGAGATAAAGGACAGAGAAGAAAGATCAACCCATCAGTCCCCATCGTTTTCTAAGTCCCCTTTGTGTTTACCTTGCAAGGATCAAAACAGAATTCCTGCAATTTATCAAGTAGTCCATGTATTACTAAGCACTTGTGAGAATTATTAGTTTGTATTTACCAGCATCTGTTTTTTTTTTTTTTTTTTTTTTTTTTTTTTTTTTTTTTTTTTTTTTATCTAAGCATTTGATGTATTATACTGTATTTGCAATGGTTTTCATTTCAGTACGAAAGTTATGCCCTCGAGGCAACCGAGAACTACCAGTATGCCGACAGGTTAGAGGAGTATGGGGACCGAGGCCACTACCCAACCTACTCCATACCTGAAGAGGTCAAGAAATACATTACTTATTTCAGGGATGCAATTAGGGATGGCAATGTGTATGACATCCCTCCTCTTTATGTTGAGTAAGTTCTTGACTCTATTTTGTGGTTGTTTATGAAGTGACAACACCCTCAGAGACTAAATTACTTCATCCAACAACCTTGATTTCAAAATACACCTTGCAATTGCTGTATTTCCCAAGGTGTGGGCTCCACCCATGGACCCTCTCCTGATTGCCACATCTCCACACAGTATTAATCACATCCCATATTCTTAATTTCTATTGTTATTTTTTTGCCTGTGCTGATTAACTCATATATAATAAGTCCTTAGATTTTCCCCATTTTAGTGTTGTCATTTTGTAGATGTCCCTTTTTTCTTTTGATAACATATTTTGCATAGATACACAATTTGAAACATAATACAGTCCTTCATTAGCTACTTGTACCCACAGCTTTAACCGCTTAACCGAGGAGTACTACAAGACACAGTCATGGCCTGATGTTGAGGACCTGTATGGCAACAAGCTGGTTGAGCAAGAAGGTCGGGATGACATCTTCCTTATCCTCTACCGAGAGTTATACTATCGGCACATTTATGCTCGAGT